CGAGAAGAATATGTGCACCCACTCAATAGGCATTTCATGGACTCTGTACTTTTGCAGGACATTCTATTAGGTTGTTCAAAAAGCAAGTAGTTATGAATTTTGAGCGCTTTAATATATAAGCATTAACCAGTGGTGTATAATCCATTTTCTTTGAGGGCCTTTCCCCATTCTCCAGGTAATTTTGAAGCTCCTCTCTCGTGGAACTCCTATTTTTTTTCTCAGCAAAAAAATCGACCTCACCAGATTTGATGTCCTCACCTTCGTCGAAGGTTCTCTTACTCAGAAAGTTTTCTATAGCCGAAATAAGTGGCAGTTAAACGGCGTGAGATCACGGCTGTATGGTGTATGCAGAATCAATTTTCAATCAAAATCACAGTTGACGATAGCTTTGAGGTCCCTATTTTAGGTAAAATGCGTTTTTATCAGTGGTTTCGGAATTGTTACAAAGAATGACTTCGTAGACGGTGCTAGTGCCTCTCAGCTTGTAGCACGATCAACTCTCCTGTGCGGAGACTTATCCGTCTATATTTCATGGTCCTATACATATACACAGAATAGCTCTTGGTTGTTCAAATAAGTCTTGTATTCTAGTTCAGTTCAGTTCAAATAGCAGGGTTTCATGAATTGGCTCAGAGTAGAGTAAGGCTGCCCTCTGCTCCGAATTGATAGGGACTAGAAACCAGAAGCTCGTTACGATTTTATTACTCCACACTAAAAGAGCAGATCTCACACGCACGGTCAGGGGTTCGAATCCGTGATTTCTGCTTAGGCCAACCAAGCCTTCGATCAGTCCGGGGTCAGTTAGTCGGCANCAGACTCGTCTGGGAGGATAAAAGCACTGACTTGTACATCGACTGGCCACCGCAAGTCATTGTATAGGCCACATACGCACTCATTACACCACTACGATTCTGAATGGAAGTCGAGTGCGGGGGCGCATCCCTCAGACGCGATTAATTAACGCCGAAACTTTATCCTTATCCTAAATGCAGCAAAACTGTGCAAGTTCACCAATGTCCAGACTTGACAGATCTCCATCACTTCGCTACAGAATTGGTAAAGTGAATGATGATCATAGGAGTAGTAGTACATACTTAAGCTCAATGCTAATTTGTTCAAATCCACGATCAACTGGCAACTAGCCAGTTCTGAAAGACTTCCATTGTCCTTTTTCGACAAAGGGGCACAATGAGTTAGGTTTTGGTTTCGAGCATTGATGTTTTCCAGAACCGGGTAGGTTGAAATGGTGTGAGGAGGTGCAGTAACTGTTCGTTCAACTTCATATTCTACGAGCAACCATTTGAGACTACAAATAATTTTGAGCTAAAATCTCCATGTCTTTCTTCATTCCCAGTCGTAAGTCGATTACATGAGTTCACATTCGTAACGTAGATGACAAGAATGTAAATGATGAGAGCTGACAGCTTTCTTTCAAAGAAGTGCGCCTACCCTATGGGTGCAGTGTGATCCATCACTATGATATGGGCTCACTATGATGTTGTTTGTTGAAATTCGGTGATTCTAATGTTGATGCAAATATACTATCAGGAAGAAAAAAAAACAAAAATGTGGAAAAACGGCCAATGCGTACGTTCGATTACCAGAATTTTTCTCTGAGAACTTTGTGTTCGAACATTCACCGGCTATCACGATCTCTGGATAGAATTTTGGTGCTCCTGTTAGTTAGGTGATTTTGACTTTTAGGTTCATAGCGGTAGCTCTCAATCAATCTCAATCAATGTCAGCAACATATTTTTGACAGGACATACATAGGCCAATAGTAGGTGATTCCATGAATTTTCACGCTAAAAGACAGGCAATTCTCGAGTCATTTGCTTTGATCCTGAAATTTCTGTTGCTGTTAATGAAGTATTCACTTTTTCTTGTGTTTGAATGGGTGCAAAAGGGGTCAACAGAAAGTTTAATTTCCAAACATTTCCTCCGAATGGGATGGCTCCCTCATTCTAGATACAGTAGCGCTCAAAATTCTTCGGTGAAATGCTTTGACGCTTTTTCGTTCATAACTTTTTTCTTAGTGGACCAAATCGCGCGAAATTTGGATATGTTTA